ATATATATATATATATTTCTAAAATTCATGAATAATTCATGAGCTAATTAGCCAATGAATTTCTTAAAATCTCGTCACATGATGACCCCTATATACCGGTGACATACATCACCACTCCCAAAAAGTTTGAACCATCCATATGCTGAGTACTTATTTGTATTTCAAATATTTTTCTGTGGGTGGGAAACTAAAGAGGAATCGATGTTGAATACCGATTGAGTTCAAAGTTCAAAGGTCGCCGCATATCGCATATGATATATTATACTATACAACGGCCAATTGTACAAGAAAAACTGATAATTTACTCATCCCTGCTGGTTGCTATAATCTAACATAATATAGAATAATCCAACAGCTCATAGTTATTTAATTTCAGTTTCATTCGAACGCCAAAACGCAGTCAAATGGCAACACGCGGGATATGTTGAATCGCGTGCGCAACTCGCGCGGACATATCAAGTTAGCGCGGGCAGAGCCAGCAAGAGCCAAGCATTAATCGGCCTGAGTATATGTTATATAGTCCCAAGAAACAAGCTAGCTGTTTCCTTCGCTCTTATTAAGTAATATTAATCAAATTTTGCGAAAATTGCTGGTTTAATCTTAGATAATTGAACGCCTCGATCTTTATTTACCTGTAGAATATAAAATTATATTTCAGAAATACAGCCAGAAGAAATTTCATACGTCGTGCTATTGAAAGACTGGGAAATTCCACCAAGCCATTTGAAATTACTGGATAAAAAATTAGGAGCTGGACAGTTTGGAATGGTCAAAGAAGGTTTATATACATCTTCTGAAAATAGCAATCCTGAGGTTGTTGCTGTAAAGATGCTGAAAGGTATTGACATAATTTTAAAATCATACTTCTGAGAATAGAGTGGTAAACAATGGGCAGAGATTTTATCATTAACTTGCCGAAAAAGATGCCAATAACAATTCATTAAGGTTCTTACAGACCGAACGCGATTCGACAACACGACGCGAATTTTCAGCTTTTGAAAACAAATAAAACCGTCAACGGATAAAAATTTTACAAGATATGCAGTCCAAATAGCTAAAATTGCTTAAGTGATTCCGAATATTTGAAAAGCACTGAAAAATATTGAAGTTAAATGTCATTGAAAATTGAAAATTCGCGTCGCGTTGCCAATTCGCGTCCGGTCTGTATGGACTTTTATGGCGAAGTAATTACTTTAATTATGATTTTTGGTGGAATTATAGGATGGATGTCGGTAGCTAAATCTACGACAATATATTTGTTATTATTAACATTTACTCTTGAAGTGAATAGTGCTTCACATGTAATTCGATTGGTTGCTCAGGTCCGGATATCCTTGCACTAATCAGATTCTGACAAAACCAAAATGGCTTCCCCGTTCATTGCGCAACAAACCAAACGGCCAAATATTTTTTTGGTAAACGAAGCTGTTGTTTTGCCAAACACAAAAAAGACTAAAGAAGTTTTGTTGAACAGTGTATAAAAGCAATGCAATCTTTAATTAAAGCTATTTCTAATGAATAGTATTACTAAAAGCAAATTACTAAAAGGTGAATTATACAATTGGTTTAAAAAAAACCCGTTTGTTTGTTTTTTATTATTTTTGTTTTGTTGTGGTATATGCTAAAACAATTATTCACCTCATGCAGTGCCGGTGAATGGCGTATTCGGTTCGCGTTTCGGAGAAAATTGCTTCACTTCTACTTCGATGACTAGTTGTTAATTAATAATTATTCTAGGCGAAAGGCATATTGGTGTTGGTGTATAGTATGTATATTGTAAAATATTGTTGTCAAATGTACGAATTTATTCCTATATCAGCCAAAGCCAAACAAGGATGTTTGATTAAACTTAAACTGTAATTTAAGCTTTAATTAAATTGAGCAAAATGAAAGTGCACGCCATAGCCCGAGGTGATTTCTAAATATAGTCTTTAATTATTTTAAAATCATTTTAAGACCATGTAAATCCGTAATGTAAGCAAACGCTTTGTTTACATGTTGAACTCATTGCTACAGTTGTAAAATATGATTAGATATACATTATACTGAACTTTTCACACTTTTCTGATTTGCTATGCTTGTAAATGAATACAGACTAGAGATTCAATTAAAAAAATTTCGAAAGGTGCCAAATATTAATAACATTGCAATGGTCGTGTCCCGACCATTGGAATGTAACCCTGCCCGGAACGGACTTTACATGGTCTTTAATTGCATCCGCAGATAATATAATGATTGAGCCCGTTATCGACAAGCCATCATTCTCTCCATTCATTGTACTGGAGTGGTAAAAATTTACATTAGGCCTTAAAAAAATAGCTGTGGTTCCGGTTTCATATCGTGAAACAATTAGGGTCGATAGGTCAGAAATATTTTTTTTTAGTATTTTTTTCATTGGTTTGGCGGATTTTGGGTGGGCGATTTGCAGTAGAGGACCAAAATCAATATTAACTCTAGATGCGTCTTTCCTATGGACGAACTAGGCAACTTGGTTCAATAATTAGTGTGACAACAGACGCCATTTTGGCACGTTGTATGAGCAGCCCGCAACCACCCTGAGAAAATAGGCTCGCACGATCAATCGCGTTGAAAAAATTATAAAGTCGGCAGAAAAAAATAGGGTCGGTCAGGAACCGAAACAAAAAGGAATTTTTAGGCCTTACACTGTTTTAAATAAATCAAACTTTGCTCACATTCCGCGTGCATCAGCCTCTACATTCGATCTTCCTGTCAGACAATATGTCACATTTTTAAAACAAAGCAGCTCCGTCAATTAGGAGTCAGTTTTTCAAACCTGGATTGCAGATGACCATAGCACCGACCTTGGTTTCAACGTGCTGCTTTGGCTTGTCATCTTTTCACGCCTGCTTATTGCGGATTCAAGTAGACCGTGAAATGCGAATAGTTGTCGCGTTCGTTGTAACGGTTCCACGATGACGTTTCTAGGCAGATTTTCAGACGTTTCTAGGGCGTGGCTTCAACGTTTTGTTAAAAAGTAAACTCGTTTCAACATTTTTGTCATTCTATATTAGTTGCTTTCATCAACATGTCTTTTGTTCAAATAAAAATAGAATATGATTTATACTGTTCGAACAAACGTATAACGCCAATCTTTTTAAACGAAGATATAATTTTCATGAAATATTTTTTCATAAATATTTTTAAGCCAGGATTTTGAATGACGTTCCACATTTTCGCGATCAAAAGTGGAATTACAACGTTTAAATTTTGAAAATAAACGTTGAAGCCACGCCTTAGAAACGTCTGAAAATCTGCCTAGAAACGTCATCGTCCAACCGTTAAAAGTAACGCGACAACTATTCGCATTTCACGGTCTACCTGAATCCGCAGTATTTAAACTTTGTAGCAAACAAATCTTTTGCTGATCGTGACAAGATTTCTGGGAATGCATTTTCAAGTTTATAAACAATTTACTGGAAAACATGTCAACCCAGGTTTCAGCTAAGTAACGGCTTCAACAGCCGGCCTTTTCGATCACGTTGCATTGCGCTCTCATAGGGATTAATCTCTATTCTATATTGACAGATTTGACAATTGAACAAGTGATTTCACCATAATCAAGTAAATTGCTGCGAACAGCAGCTACCTGCACGAGTTTGCAAGTTAAAGTATTTCGTTTGTACCCATATAATGATACAGCAAAGGATACAAGGCGAAACTATAGACAGTTTTGTCAGTTGAACTCCACGCTAACGGTCTTTCCTCAAAGGGGGATCTCCTTCCATTAAATTATATTCCCTGCTTGAATCTATTAAAACAATCATTATATAACAAATGCATGCAAAACCATATCCACAAAAAAATAGACGATAACTTAAAGTGCGTATGACACGAAATTTCACACCAGATGCTTATGATTGCATTGTAAAGATCACTTAAAATGACTTAATAATTTATTTTATAGAATTTTGGTAACTTGCTTCCTTCGCAAGATATTCAAGTTTGTTTCATTTGCAAATAAATTTCACATCGCATAATGACATTTTGAAAACGCAATAATAATAGGTAAAAACCTTGATAAAATATTTTTACAAACTGAAATACGGAGAGTTAATTACCGGTTGTGAAATTAGTACATATACAAGTGCAATTATTATGTTTTTTAGATACGTATTCGTCAAGAAAACTATACTTTTCTGAAAACTCATTATGCGATGTGATGTCACACCGGTGATATTTGCATATGAAACAAAGTTGAATATCTTGCGAAGGGAGCAAATTACCAAAACTATATAAAAGAGGTTATTAAGTTATTTTAAGTGATCTTTACTGGGTGATATTTCTTGATTGGGGTGATATTTCGTGTCATGGGCACTTTAAGCTCGCAAAATAAGTGGATTATGTACGTCTCCGCAGCAATTCTTATGTTTTCTTTTTACAAAGAAACATATTATTTAACAATGTTTCCATTGATTTTCAGATAATGCAAGGGAATCTGACCTGTCCGATTTATTGGCTGAATTGGAAATCTTGAAAAAAATCAACAAAGCACCACATCCAAATGTCATAAGATTTATCGGAGGTTGTTCATTAGAAGGTAACCCGATAAACTATACTGTGCATCCACCAGGCGAAGTTTCTGATAAGCCTATTCATGAAACAAATCTTATTACTATACGCTCACATCTAGTGCCATTGACCAATCACGGGTCTTCAATAGCGTCACGTGCATGCCCGATATTTACGATGTAGAACCGTTCATATTGGACAGTAACTTATCGTGGCATTTTTCCTGGTTTATCAAACTTTTTCAGATGTTTGACAGTTTTAAACACAAAACCAACGTTAACGCAAAGTAATGAAAATAATTTGAGACATATTATGACTGGGCCCAGAAGAATCCAATATGAAATATTGTAAATATATAGAAAATGGCTATCAAAAGGTATCGATGTGACATGAAGCCGTTCTTATACTGCTAATTTCATTTCTATATCAACATGTTCGCTATTACAGTATTACAATTATATTGATGATTTTTAACCTATAGACAAGAAGAACGAAATTCACTTACCATATATACCAGGAAAGAGCATCTTAAAATGAGTAAAACTGCAAAGATTGGTTGCTAAATGTTGTAAAATGAAGAAAATATAGCCTGCGAAGTTTGAAAATTATGTATATATTTGTATATATCACGGTCCACTAGAGTATATGTACAAAGTCTAATTATATAGTCAATTATTCGGAGACCCTAAATGGGAGAGGCGCAAACGAGACTCGAAGAACCATGCAAGGCACCTGCCCCGACTTAGTAAAATTTACTGTTCTAAATGAAAATCTATACTGTTCTAGTAAACCTCGGAGGTGCATACGCCTCATAAATTAGATACTTTTTTATATGTACTACTTTTTTATCTATATACTACTTTTTGATACTCAAATAATAGAGAAAAGTCTCACAGTAACATTTCATTTATAAAACCTGACTTTCACAACTTATCTACAGTATGCTGCATTTATATATTTTATCCTCGATATTAATAGCCTTCTGAGTTCTGACTGTCTTCCAATATGCAAATTTGTTGTGTAAATCAAAATTCATTGCTAAATCTCAATCAAGATACGCCGAGTATTTACATGTGCCTGCAGGCGCGCATCTTGTTTGCTTATAATTAAATATTGTTATGCTGCCTAAAACGAAATAAAATTGACATATCACATTAAATTTACCTTATTGCACTCTTCAGGATAAAGATCTCGGCGCCAATGCTTCTACTTATACAGTTGAAGTAGTTCATGCTACTCATTGCGCCTAGCAAGTGCTCAAACGAACTGTCCGATATATATATGGTCGTCCTCCCAAAGTCAGCCACCATTCTTGTGAGACATCTAAATCATTCACCGCAAATGCGGATTGAACCGTTTCGTAAATACCACAAGGAACAGCAGATATTTCCGAATGTAGGCGAAAGATATACGTCCTTGTAGTCGCACTCTCTTGTATTTACATTAATATTACCAACATTGATTGCAAGTGGCTGACCTGATTTGGAGATTTCAATAATATTCCATCAAATAACAGGAATGAACGAACATTAAATTATACTTATTGTGAGGATTATACTATTTCCTAATTTCCACTCGTGTTGATATATAACTGTATGACAACACGGAAAATGTTTTATATTTGTTAAATGGTTTACGTACATGTAGTCTACTGAACATAACTGGGTCAAATATTTTCATTCATACAGATATAAAACTTTTTATAATACTTCGTGTTTTGCAACTTTACTACCTTAGGGAAACTTCTAGTGGTAACAGAGCTCTGTCCAGGTGGAAATCTACAAAAGTTCCTAAGAAACAATCGAGTCGACTATGCCAATATAACATCAACGTTAAACCAACGCCAACTGTTGAAAATGGCTGTCGAGGTGGCAAGTGGAATGGTCCATCTTTCTTCTCAGAAGGTATTTACAAACTGATTTACAACCTGAAACTTCCGCTCTGGCTTAGGAATATCTTATTAGTTGCATGATATAATTAATAATCAAAAGCGTTAGTATAAAGGACGCTTTAGTTTTAGAAGTAAGGCTGAAACTCATTTAATTTACCCAAACACGATACTAAATATTATTATTTGACGTACTTGTCTATACTACCCTTTATTGTGATATTACTTTCCCAACCACTCATGTTTATCCTATTCCATCATTGTCAACTATCGTGGGGGAGAAGCGCGGAGTAAGACATTTGGTACTTTTCACATGAGTTGGTAGATAATTGGTGAAACCATCCAGAGGTGAAAGACACTATTTTCTGATGACTGCGCAACTGAAAATATTAAACAATTATTGAATGAGGATGAGTATGATATCGAGAATTATCACGAGGTTTGTGTTATCTACCGAGGCTGATGGATGATCTACAGAAGCCGATGGCTTCATCGTGTTTTCGCAGACAGATTATTTATACCTTTTAGTTTGTTCATCGTGATTTGGCAGCGAGAAATATTCTTCTTGGTGAAGATAATGTTGCAAAAGTTTCTGACTTTGGTTTGGCGAGAGATATTGGAAATGCTGAAGAATATGTACGCAGTAACCA